TATATATATATATATATATATATATATATATATACATATATATAAACTCTGTTTTAGCATAGTCTACGCATGTCAACCTCATTTGACAATTTACATTTTCCTCCGAATTTTTAGTGTATGCGTGTCTGTGTATTTTTGCAAATCTGAAAGCCAGATTATTTTTAATTCCGGGAATTCTGCTTGCTAAAGAGATGATGTTTGTGTCAGTGACGCACAGAGTTCATAGCGACAAATGTAGAAATAGATACGAGTGAAATTTCCATTTGATGCGAAACGTTTCCATTATTTCTTCACCAGAAATACATTTTTTTTTCTGCGTGTCTGTCACTGTTTCTTGATTGCTTATTTTCCCGGTTTGTCAGGAAGGCTTATACAAAGAGCTGCTGACGAACCTTAATAGAGATTCCGTGAAGGTTGCCCACGTCCCGGGAAGCGCACGATTGAATTCTGGTTTGAACGGGATATGCGATCGAATCTTGCATCCGATTCAAGGATTCTTAACAAGTGCGATTCATCATAAAAGTGGGTTTTCCGGGAAATTATTTTCTTTAAAAGAATACGCTAAACTTCTGTATTTCGAAACAGGATTTTTGGGTAATTGCAAGGGTTTTGGCTCACAAACAGCTTTGTAGCTATTATCATTTGCATGACTATCATGCTCATCACCATTTATCATAATATCATTATTTTCATTTTCATTTGAATTTCATCATTACTATCACTGTCATGGTAATCTTATCACATATATCATAATTACCTTTTCATCATTACACTCAGATTTGTGTGTACTAATTGCGCGGATAATCAAACTTTGTAGTATTCTTCACTTCTAAATATCCACCTTAACAAACACCAAAACCTCTCGGATTAAATTAAAAACACCCCATTCTTAACGAAATATAGCGAAAGAAAAAAGAACGAAAAGAAAACAGAATTAACGAAAGAAAAGGAAAAGAAAAACAGACACTCATGCATCAACCGCGTGTTATAAACTAATGGAAACATGCGACTATGATTTAGTTATGTGTAAATTACCCGGAATGAAGCAATATTATCAAGATTGAGCAGCGTGTTTCTTGCCTACCAGTGCTATCGCCTTTCAAAAAAAAAGATAAATAAATAAAAAGATCGTCAGAAGAAGATATGACATAAGATAATGATCATGATGGGAATGAGAATCAATTATGGTAGTGATGATAATGGAAATGTTAATGACTAAAATCTTAACAATTTCGATATGAACAACAGGAATAATAATAAAAAAATATAATGATGAGTAAGATATAGTAAGAAAAAAATTGTAGTAACAATTATGATAATTATAATAAAAAGAATAATGATGATGATAATAATAATAATAATAATAATAATAATAATAATAATAATAATCTTGGGAATGGCTGTCAAGGAGTGATTTGAAGGTTGGAACGGAAGCTCTTCTATGTGCTGCACAAGAGCAAGCAATAAGGACCAACTACGTGAAGCACTATATAGATATGAGCAGCGACAGTCCACTGTGTAGAATGTGTGGTAAACGAGGTGAAAGCATACAACATATTGTTTCAGAGTGCGAGAAATTAGCCCAGAAAGAATGCAAAAGGCGTCACGATAACGTGGCAAAGAAAATACATTGGGAGTTGTGTAGGAAACACGGGCTCGAGCATTCCGATAAGTGGTATGAACACATTCCAGAAGGTGTTGTTGAGAATGAGGCTGTGACAATTCTGTGGGATATCAACGTACAATGTGATAACGTCATTCAGGCAAGAAGACCAGATGTTATAGTAATTCAAAAGGAAAAGAAAGAGGCTCTGATAGTTGACATTGCTTGTACCTGCGGATACGAGGATTGCAGAAAAAGAGTTAGAGAAGGTAGAAAAGTACCAAGATCTGAAAGTGGAAATAAAAAGGTTGTGGGAACTGCGATGTGCAAAAGTTATTCCAGTAGTGATTGGTGCCCTCGGAAGCGTTACAAAAGATCTTGAATGTTGGATTGAAAATATGGACATTGTGCCTGAGGTTGGAGTATTGCAGAAGACTGCGTTATTAGGGACGGCAAGAATACTGAGAAAAGTGCTGGAACTTTAAAGGAGAAGGAAACCTGTTCGCCTTTAGTCATTTGTTGTGACTCGCCTAACAGGAAGAAAAACGGCAATGAGACCAACCAGTGCAGAAATGCTTAAAATCCCATAATAATAATAATAATAGCAATAATAATGATAATAATAATAATAATAATAATAATAATAATAATAATAATAATAACAATAATAATAATAATAATAATAATAATAATAACAATAATAATAATACTTCTAATAATAACAATAAAATAATAATAACAATAATAATAATAGTAGTAATAATAATAATAATAATAATAATAATATTATTATATAAATAATAATAATAATAATAATAATAATAATAATATATATTAGTATATTATTATCACTATTTATTATTATATACTATTATCATTATTATTATCATTATTATCATTATCTATGCTAATTATCATTATGTTATTGTTGTTGTTGTTTGTATTATATTATTATTATATTATTATATTATTATTATTCATTATAATCATTATCATTATTGATATTGTTAGTTAGTATTCTTATTTTATTATTATTATTATTATTATTTATATATTATTGTTATTATTATTATTATTATTTATATCATTATTATTATATATCATTATTATTATATTTATTATTATTATTATTATTATTATCATTATCATTCTTATCATTGCTTGTGTGTGAGTTTATCTGACCTTGTTTGACCCCTCAGTCGTGCCTCAGCAACCAGCGTGACCAGGTCTAGCTTCTGGCCTCTCTGGGCTTGAGGGCAGGACCACGCGACCCCACGCTCAGCACTCTAAGACTCGTCTCGTGTGTTTCCTTCAGTGTGTAGTACTCTTTATCAATAAAGAGTCAAGCCGTTATAGAACTAGGACTACCCCTGCAAACCATTGTACAAAGGTCCTCTCTATATACTTTTTACAGAGTGTGTGTGTGCGCGCGCGCGCGCGTATGTATACACATTTTTTATGTTGGAAAGGACAGAAAATCGCATGACATGACATTTATCATACTTTAATTTTACGTTCCCGCGACACAGAATACCAAACTGAATCGATACCAGACTTTCCGTTAGTTCGACAATTACAAAAGTTACGGCCATGTGCAATTTAGCGTCCCCGTAACACACGACGCACCATGAAGAGTGACAAAAAAATCCAAATACTCTTATTGCAAAGGGAATATGTAATCAAGGCGACAGTTAACATCATGATATGTACACGTGAAATTCCTCACCTGTTGTCATTATGGTAGGTGTGAATACCAAATGTTAAGACGTGGTAGTCGCCTCCTTCTCGTTTAGCCCATAATACCTGTGGGTGTAAACAAAGGCAAATGTACATAAATAAGAATAAAGACAAAATACAAACATACTGACACGTTACAAAATATGAAATCAAGCGCTATAACAAAGGAACATTTAAGCACCACGTTTCTAAACAGACTACGTTCCTCATCGGGCGATTCAGACGAAATAAATATGTTTCATTTCTAGGGGTATACATGAATATGCAGGAAAGGACTTCGAAATAAGCATGAATCAATAAATCTTAAGAATGCTGCAGAAAAGGAAGACGAAGCAAGAATTACTCATAAATATCAATATCATTGTCAATACTGTTTGTTATTATCATTATCATCATCACCATCATCATTATCATCATCTTATTATCATTCTCATAATAATAACAATAATAATAATCATCATTATTATCATCATTACTATTATTATTATTATTATCATTATTATCATTATTATTATTATTATTGTTATTATTATTATTATTACTATTATTATTACTATTATTATTTTATTGTTATAACTATTATCATTATAACTATTTTAGCTATATTAATATTATCGCCAACATATTTTATATTATCGTTATCATTATCAGGATTATCTCTACAATTATCATTATTATTACTATTAATGTCATTATCATCCTCATCATCATCGTCATCATCATTATTAATGTTATTATTATTATTATTATTATTACCATCATTATCATCATTATCATTATTGGTATCACTACTATTATCAGTGTTATTATTATTGTTATTATTATTGTTGCTATCATTATTATTATTGTTGTTATTATTATTATTGCCATTCTTATCATCATCATTATTATCATTAAAATTATTATTATTATTATTACTATTATTATTATTATTATTATTATTATTGTTATTATTATTACTATTATTGTTATTATTATCATTATTATTATTATTATTATTATTATTATTATTATTATTATTATTATTATTATTATTATTATTATTATTATTATTATTATTATTATTATTATTATTATCATTATCATTCTTATCATTGCTTGTGTGTGAGTTTATCTGACCTTGTTTGACCCCTCAGTCGTGCCTCAGCAACCAGCGTGACCAGGTCTAGCTTCTGGCCTCTCTGGGCTTGAGGGCAGGACCACGCGACCCCACGCTCAGCACTCTAAGACTCGTCTCGTGTGTTTCCTTCAGTGTGTAGTACTCTTTATCAATAAAGAGTCAAGCCGTTATAGAACTAGGACTACCCCTGCAAACCATTGTACAAAGGTCCTCTCTATATACTTTTTTACAGTGTGTGTGTGCGCGCGCGCGCGTATGTATACACATTTTTTATGTTGGAAGGGACAGAAAATCGCATGACATGACATTTATCCTACTTTAATTTTACGTTCCCGCGACACAGAATACCAAACTGAATCGATACCAGACTTTCCGTTAGTTCGACAATTACAAAAGTTACGGCCATGTGCAATTTAGCGTCCCCGTAACACACGACGCACCATGAAGAGTGAAAAAAAAATCCAAATACTCTTATTGCAAAGGGAATATGTAATCAAGGCGACAGTTAACATCATGACATGTACACGTGAAATTCCTCACCTGTTGTCATTATGGTAGGTGTGAATGCCAAATGTTAAGACGTGGTAGTCGCCTCCTTCTCTTTTAGCCCATAATAC